ACCCTGAGCCGGTGAGATTTGAACCGCTGACCTGCTGATCTAGCAGTAGCCTGCAGTGCTGCATTTAACCACTGCGCCACCTTGGCTCTATGCCAACATGTAGCATCGAGACAATCACATCTCCAGCATTTAGGTTGTAAATTCGGATACATACATATTCTTTTGCTTCTTTCATAACAGGGAATTGGGCTGGGACAAATCACATCAAGGGGCCAGAAGATCATTTTCTCTGTATGTATAGCTGGTCCTCCTCTGACCTCTCTTCCCACTCACGTTCTTTCTTGTCACAGCTTCTTGAAAAGGAAGGGAGGGAGGGGGAATGCTAACCTGCGAAATAAGAGTAGAAAATTTGGCCTCACACAAAATATAGTATTTTCTTAGAGGACAAGGGCTAGATATTGAATAAGTTTGAAAGCGTCAAGTATGCAACCGTTGACCGAGTGAGCTGTTCGTGTAGTAAATGCATCAGAGAAAAGCAGATAGTTCACCATTTGGCGAAGCTTATTTCTTGTGCACAGAAACAGGCTACAGGCAAGAAAAATTAGGGAAAAGAGGATTCTGCTACGGGAGTGCCAAAGGAAATACAAAACAAGTGGGAGATGAATACACTGATAGCCTTTAATTAGATGGATGCACTGAACTCCTTTAATTAGTCTACTCCCTTTTAAAATAATCTAAAGCCAATGGTCATCAATATATTTGAATGCAGAAAATCTCCCAGTTTAACCATGCGCTGTTCAAAGAATATTTTCTTTATGTAGCTCTTGATTCTCCCATGCTTGAATTTAATGGATGAACCCGAGTTCTACGCTTGGGAAAGGGGTAGAGAAAAACTGCTGGTATTCATGGAAAATAAATTTAGAATACTGAACTTTTATAATACTGAATACTTTGTTGTAGCAGTAAAGTTTTAATGGCAATCAAAAATCAAGGCATATTGGTAATAAAGGCATAAAGTAAAAACTAAGAACCAGCTTGGTCTCCAAACTTGGCAACTAAGACTTGTGGATTTCCACTCCCCGAGTTCCTCAGCCAACCTTTGCCAAGGTTGGAGACCCCTGGTTTAAGGCACAGGGCTAGAAAACAAGAGGCCCTGTGCTCAAATCCCATGTCTGCCATGAAAGCCCGCTAAGTGAATTGGACCAGTCCAGTGGTGGGTTTCAAAAAATTTTGGACCCTCTTCTGTAGGTGTGGCCTGCTTTCCGGGTCCACTGGTGGAACCTCTTCTAACCGGTCCGGTAGATTTGACGAACCGGTTCTACCGAATAGGTGCGAACTGGTAGGAACCCCCCTCTGGACCAGTCACTCTCTCTCTCTCAGCTGAACTCACCTCACAGGGTTNCAGACATAACATAGATAGACAGACAGACATATAGGATGGATGGATGGATGGATGGATGGATGGATGGATGGATGGATGGATGGATGGATAGATAGATAGATAGATAGATAGATAGAGGTATATATATGTACCTATATGTATAGGAGTATAATGGATGCTGAATGATGTAGAAATGTTGCAAATATGATATTTATGTTTAAAAAAATAAATAAAAAAGAAAAGAAAACCAGAACATAGGTATTCCATTCATCTAGTGACTGTTTGAAGTTATGATGACACTGGAAAAAAAAGGTGGCTGATGACTGTTTCTCATACTTACGACCGTTGCAGCATCTCCCTGGTCACGTGATCAAAATTTGGATGCTTGGCAACTGTATTTATGACAGTCGCGGTATCCCGGGGTCAGGCGGTCTTTTGCGACTTTCTGATAAGCAAAGTGAAGGGAGAAGCCACATTCCCTTAACAACCGTGGCAACTAACGTACTAACTGCAGTGATTCACTTAACAACCGTGGCAAAAAAGGTTGTAAAGGGGGGCAAAAAAATCACTTCAGAAATGTTTGGCTTAGAAACAGAAGCTCTGAGCTAAAATATGGTCATCTGTCAAGGATGACCTCTACCAATAAAATAAACCATTGAGCAACATTTCTGCTTTCCCGATCTGTTTTTGGACAAGGGACCCCTGCATCCTTTAAGAACAGCTGTGAAATCATTCTTCCCTTGTGCTTTTTTTCCCTTCAGGCGAATCGCATTTTGCCGTGAATCAGCAGCCCTTCCTCTACTTCCAAGTCTTGTTCCTCACGGCCCAGTTCGAAGCAGCCATCGCTTTCCTTTTCCGTACTGAACGTTTGCGTTGCCACGCTGTGCATGTGGCCTTGGTTCTCTTTGAACTGAAGCTGTTGCTGAAATCTTCTGGGCAGAGCGCACAACTCTGTAAGTTTTGTTGGTCTGTGTTCAATGCACTGTTGGGATCCTTCAGGGAATAAAGATCGGATGAGCCATCTGAACGATAGTGTCAGCGTTCCAGATAGCATCCAAAATTAAACCAGAGTCCAAGGCAAAGTACTGCTCAAAGTTCCAATTTATTAAGAGAGCCATGCCGGCACATCTGGGAAAACCCGAATCTGAAGCTTCTCAGTTTTCCCCACCCAAGTTAAAAGTTCATGATCTTCCCCCCCACACCCACCAGTCCATCACATGGTCCAATCTCCCACTGCCATGCTGGCAGTTCCACCCATCCAGTTCCAGTCAAGTGCAGAGATGTCAAGACAAAGGATGATCTTGGCTTTCTATAAAGGAATTTTGTTTTGGCTACATAACATTCTACTCTGTACTATCCCCCCTCCCAATTCCCCACTATAGAAACAGCATAGTAGAATAGAAGTGTGGCAGGCCAAATATCCAAAAGGAACATGGCTACAGTCCTGACAGATAGACTGACATGTGAGACACACATGACACATAATAAGAGAGATATCGTATTTTTTGGAGTATAAGACGCACTTATCTATTTTGGGGAGGAAAACAAGAAACAAAAATTTGCCTTTGCCTTCTAGCATCCATCCAGTATTCATCTGACCCATTTGCTGCACCTTGTTCATTGCCTCTGTGGCCCATTCGCCACCATCCATTAGCCGCTGCAACCTGCTTGCTGCTGCCGTGGCCAATTCGACACGGCCTGTTTGCCGTGGCCCACTCACCATTGCTGCAGCCCATTCACCGCTGCTGATCCCCACTGCCTGGAACCGGCTGAAAATGCGATGCATGGAGGCCAGAAATGGGGTGCGCGGAGGCTGAAAATGCAACAAGCAGAGGCTGAAAAGGATTGGGGCCGGGAGTGGGCAGGTCTTCAGCAACATTTGGTGCATAAGACACACTGCAATTTTCACCCACTTTTAGGAGGGGTGAAGTGCGTCTCACACTCCGAAAAGTAGTGTTCTTTAAAATAATTTGACCAGCATTTTGCAATGTTGGCCACCTGAGGATGTGTAGACTTCAACTCCCAGAGTTCCCCAGTCAAGGTTGAGAAACTCTGAATTAGACAGATGAATAGCTTCCTTTTAAGTGGACCACCAGCATTCCAGGGTCTGAAAGGGATTCCTTATGACCTCATGACAGTTGCACGAAGGGTGTGGAATGGCTTATTCATAATGTCACGTTGCACAGGTGAGTAGCTGACAGGTAACATGCTGCATACCTGTCAAAATTCCAAACGTCAACATTTGGCACAAAATGTTGAGTTTCCACTACATTTTTTCCCCATTTTTTTCTAAATAAAACAAAGCTCAATGTACCTTAATTTGATAAGTTAATAAGATTAGGCCAACCATCCCTTTTTGAAGGATAAAATAATGTCACAATTTGGCATGATATATCTCTTCCAATGATACTCCTCTCTTATCAGCATTTATTTTATTTTAGAAGCGTGACCCCGGGTTATTCAGAGTAGCTGCCCACAAAGTAATTGGTGGGAACAATTCATAGACCAGTGTTTTTGTTCTTTTCTTGGGCTTGCTGAAAGCAGCCCTAAGAAGTACGATGCAGTGGCCTTTTGGTAACCACAGTGTATTATTATTGCCTCTCAATGAAAGTTTTGTTTTCTGTTTCCTGGGCTAATCCCATTAACAGCTGTTGCAGTTATAAAAGTTCCCCAGTTCTGGTGACTGTCACCACATGGTGGAAGGCAGCCAAATCAACAGCCGAGAAAAATAAATGAACACCAGGAGATTGAGCTTATTGTCCTGCTTTCATATGCGGGAGAGAAAATATGAACCTTCAGCTCAGATATCATAAAAATCTAAGAATCCTTGCCTCCCTCCCTCTTTCTCTTCCTTCAAGGAATTAATTCGTGTTTGGTATTCGAAGCCTTTAAAAAAAGTCTAAAATGTTGAAAGGTCCTCCTCCCCTATTTTATCAGTAGCTGGAGGTTAGATTGACATGTCACAACCAATGCAACTAGGTATTATTGTTACTCTTCTGGTTCTATTCATTCATTCATTCATTCATTCATTCATTCATTCATTCATTCATTCATTCATTCATTCATACAATTTGTATAGCCTTCCATCTCAAACCAGTAATTCTGGGTGGCAAAGAATGGTTAAACAGTTAAAACACAATATAAAAACATAGAACCACAGGGTTGGAAGGTACTTTGGCGGTCTTACTAG